ACTAACGAGGTTGTCAGGGCCAGCGAGCTGTCCACATTATAGCAGTCACCGGAGGTGCCATACAACGCCGGGGTAGCTGTCTCGAGATCACCACTACCCACCTGCTGCGTCATCAAGACTGCAGCCATTCCAGCAGTGTTGGAGGAGAGGTCAAGAAATGGAAAGCACGTAGCAGTACTCAAGAATTTCGCCGGAAGATTAATGATTACGTCATCTGAAGTAACAAGAAAGCAGAAGTAAGGCGGTCACAGGTGGAAGGCACGGTTTCCCTACAGAGTACCGGGACTCGCCAATAGAAGGTCGCAAAATTGTCTCCTTTGGCCTAAAGTCGGCGGTACGAGGGTATACACAGTTGGTGTTTACGGCCTAGTAACCTGGTGACATCAAGAAACGCCTGAGATGACGTGAGCAATGATGGAAGACGAGATTCACCTGTTCTGCAAACAAGCAACCCGCCTCTACGACCTTCTGACACCACTCCTGCTAAGAGACACCGTTGGTACATCCAGTCCTGCTCTGCTGTGGTCATCTGCGACGTCAAGTTTAACATCAAGACTGCCGTGTGAACTGTGATTGATATGAAGGCGTGTGGACTGTCGAGAGCAAGATTAATGGCCGAAGTAACAGTATTCTACAGCTGTCACTTGGCACTCCGCTCTACTACACTCTGTCGTCATTCAGGAGTACCGGATGGGAGTACAAGAGGACCAGGTATTGATGTCTACACATGAGAAGAAGCAAGATCGACACCGTCATCGTCAGCGACTACATTCAGCATCCAGCAGCATCGATTTTTTTTTTTCGATTACTCAATATGAACAATTGATACAAACAACAAAGTTGGCTCTGAACATCTGTGTAAAGAACATCTGGACACTTTTGTTTAAATGTTGAAAAACAGATTTAGAATCAATACTTTATAAATGTTGAAAAACAGATTTAAAATAATTCTGGTATAATATATGAATTTTACTCTATAAATTGGTCAGTAATCAAAATCGAAGCCCCTGTGTAATTGTCTCAGCCCAGAACAAACGGTTATGGAAAATTATGTTGTGCTATTTTTTGCAGAATGAACACAGGAGAGGCGGACCAATATAAACATTGACACTTCTAGTGAGTGAGAACACTTGGCTGTACAGTCAGCTGAAACCTGTGATATAGTATAGGAATTTTTTTTTATATTTTTAGATACATGTAATAAACGTTAGGTGTGTTCCTTAACATGTCAAGGTTGACATTGATGGGGAGTGGTTAGTACACGGATGTGTACCTGATAGTTCCGTAGTACGCTCCCGGATGACTGAAAGTTCAGTCTGATGATATAACTTTAATGTTTGTTTGAGCACGGTGTGGCCGGCTCTAGAGGACACATGGACTTGGCTAGTGAAGAGCCAAGAGAGTTTAATAGCTAGTTTTTGATGGTAGAGTAGGGACATGTTATTTAGCTATGTCAGTAAGGATAGGATGTATGTTTCCTGATATTAGAGGATTGCTGTCAGTTGACAGCTGAGAAATTTATGAAATATGAACATGTTTATTATGATGTTGGACTATTATTTGTCAAATTTTATTAGTTAGGTTAGCTTTTGTTTGTGGCATGAGTTGAATTGTGGGTTTGGATACTAAACCTCGTGAATTTTAACAAATTAACAAGGTTTACTAAGTGCTTGTGCGGGGGGGTTGTAACAAACTAGGCTGTTGTAAGAATTATTCCAGAAGGTTCCAGAAGTTCGAGTAGGGACCTGACCTCTCAACAACGCCCAGTCCCCTGGGAATTAGCAGGTCTGAGTCACAAATGGCGGGCATCTTTGTTCATAGCTGCGTATAATGAACCATCCTATAGTATTCAGTAATTTAGAGAAAATTAGCCTTTATTCATTTTGCATTAAAATTGTATTGTATAATAGTACTGGATACAATATCAAGAGTATTCTAATTATTGAGTTTAAGTCACCATCAGTGACGTCACGAATCAGATCTAACTTTTAAGGCGGAGTGACCGGCGGTCATAGGTCAGCAGGGTTGACATGTCTACTATTTCTCAAAGTTTAATAACCATTTTTGTGATCGGGAACAGCTCTGCCGTTAGATGTTTGTAATTTAATTCAGTAAAATAATTCAACCAGTCTGGATCAATTCAGTATAAACAGAGGTTAATTGTTATAACTTAACCTTGCTAAAGTAACTGGGTAAGCGATGCGGAACAATACAATGTTCTAGTCTGGGCGAGATCAGACGAGGACAGATCAGTGTGGTCACGGAAGCAGCTGGGAGAGGTCAAACATCTTACCTCTCCCCGAGACCAGCCCAACATCTTAGCTGGAAAACATAGAGGTATAGTTGCTATGGTTATGTATAGAAATAGTCTCATTTGCCATTCAGGTCAAGTAGGGAGTGTTAAAGTGACAGGGAGTGAACATATTTAGATTTTGTTTTAGTTTTCTTTTAATAAATTAAATTTGTTATTAATTTGCATTTTATTGTGTCCATTTGGTTATGTGTATACTTGTCCTGGTCACGTGGTCCACACGAGGCAGAGTTGGATTGGGCGCCGATTCTAACATCGAATCATTCCCGTGTAATTAATTCCACACTCAAGTTTCCGAGGTTATAAACTACTAGTGGGGATCAAGCCCCAAGGTTGATTAATTAGCGTGATCGATCCAGACCTCGATCATTGCTCTGTGTTACTGGTCTGGTGGTGGCAGCAGAGGTCACTCTAGGGTTTTGCTCAGAGCTTAGGTCACGTCATACTGGGTGTAGAATCCTAAGTCGGTCAATCGTCTTAGGACCACGTGGCGTGGAGTTGGCTTTGGTAAAAGTTTTGGAGTCCCTTGGTAGAGAATAAAAAGTAAGAATACGGGTAGAGGGAGTAGAAGGTAGAGAAGTAGAGAGAGAAACCCAAACCCGTGTTACAAGATGGGGGGAACTGCTGCATGGGTACAGCTTCTCCTCCATAACTACCTACCCAGGCTTTGCGCCCTGGAGAGATTGATAATCAGAGCTCAACTCCACAGTCTCAAGAGACTTAAGGATGCCTAGTAGTAGTAGGCATCCATCAGTCTCAGGAGACTATGGAGTTGCGCTCTGATTGTCGGTCTGGAGTGGCCTCACCAGGGCGCAAAGCCAGGGTAGGTTGATTCGGGGGAGAAGCTGTTCCCCCGAACAGGGGGGCAGCAGGTCCCCCCTCTCCACGGCGCTGAAAGTCTCCAATTGAAAGGCATACGCCAATACGATTGGTTCCAGCGCCGTCGCAGGAACTGTGAGTTCCGGGGTTGACCTCGAAGGTGGTGAAGAAGGGCACAAGCGTATACATATTGTTATATTATTCACACCATATAGGATGCCTACTGCCTACTATATAGTGTGAATAATATAACAATATATAGTGTGGATAATATAGCAAAAAATAGTGTGGATAATATAATAATATAGTGTGGATAATATTACAATATATAATGTGAACTATATATTGCTATATTATCCACACTATATATTGTTATATTAAAATATATAGTGTGGATAATATACCAATATATATAGTGTGGATAATATAATTTAGTGGATAAATAATACTGCATAGTGTGGCTAATATAATATAATATGGACAATATAACAAAGTAGTGTGGATAATATAGCAATATATAGCATGAATAATATAATATAGTGGATAATTAACACTGCATAGTGTGGATAATATGATATAGTGTGGATAATATAATATAGTGTGAATAATATAACAATATAGTGTGGATATCATAGCAACACAGTGTGAATAATATAATATAGTGTGGATAATATAACAATATAGTGAGGATATCATAACAACAGTGTGGGTAATATAATATAATGTGGATAATATAACAATATAGTGTGGATATGTTATATTACATATCCACACTATATCCTCTGTTATATTGCGGAACAATATAACAGAGGATATCGTCCCTCTGGCTTCGCTTTGTTGATGACATTTTTGCTTTATGGCCTCATGACCTTAGTCTTTTCCAGCCTTTGCTCTCCTCTCTTAACAATCTGGCTCCTTTCATCTATTTCAAAGTTGAGTGGGAATCTAATTCCCTCCTTCCTTTTCTTGATGTTCACGTTCACAACTCTGTGTCCGAGTTCTCTTTCTCTGTCTACCGTAAACCCATACATAGTGGCATTTACATTCACTTCTTTTCCTACCATCCTCCTTCTGTTAAGAGAAGTGTCCTCGTCTCTCTCTTCCTCCGCGCTCTACGCATCAGCGACCCTCAGTTTCTTGATTCTGAAATTGCCTTTATCTACAAATCATTCTCTCGCCTTGGTTACCCTTTGCATTTCATCAACTGTGCCTCCTCTCAAGCGAAACGAAATTTCTTTAATCCTAAACCTGCTTCCAACACTAGTAGCACTGTAATATGCCTTCCCTTCATATCTGAACTCAAAACTGTTGCCAATATCTTTCGTCCTCTTGACATTAAACTCGCCTTTCGACAAACTAACACACTTTTCCCTTTCATAGTATATACACTGAAATGCTCTAATCTTTCTAACAAATGTGACCTAACATAAGCTTGCCCTTCCATTTATCTTTCTTTCTTTTTCCTTTTCATTCTCTCTTCTCTCTTTTTTCTGTTCATTGTCTTCCATGTTCCCTTGCTATCCTCTTCTTATTCCTATTACTATCTCCTTCTCATTAGGTGGTTATAATAGGAGCTGCCTCGCATGGGCCAATAGGCCCTCTGCAGTTTATTTTCCTACTACTATCGCCTCTATTACACCTTTGCTCCTCACCCCTCTCTTGCCTATTTATTGCCTGTCTCTACTTCCTCATCACATAACAGCTTGATGGTTAAAAGCAACCTCAGAATACTGAGAAAAAAAAAAATTGTACCACTTACGGGCTATTCATGCCCGTGCCACCTCTTGGGTGGCTTAATCTTTATCAATCAATTCCTCATCACAATCGACTTGAGGAATCGAAATCACAATCGTTTCGGTCCAGGACGGACCGAAACGTCGTCGTCCCTTCACCTTCTAGTGTGTGGTCTAGTCAACTTACTTTAGCCACGTTATTGTGACTCATCGCTTGCATAGTGTGGATATCATAACAACACAGTGTGAATAATATAATATAGTGTGAATAATATAGCAATATATTGAGGATATCATAACAACACAGTATGAATAATATAATATAGTGTGGATAATATAACAATAAAGTGAGGATATCATAACAACACAGTGTGGATAATATATCAATAAAGTGTGGATAATATAACTAATGGTTAAATAGCACAGAGCAGGACTCCCAATAAAGTATTGGGAAGTCTCTTTCTGAAGCCTGCAGTGCCTCCAGGGGGCCTCCTGCAGTGCCTCCAGGGGGCCTCCTGCAGTGCCTCCAGGGGGCCTCCTGCAGTGCCTCCAGGGGGCCTCCTGCAGTGCCTCCAGGGGGCCTCCTGCAGTGCCTCCAGGGGGCCTCCTGCAGTGCCTCCAGGGGGCCTCCTGCAGTGCCTCCAGGGGGCCTCCTGCAGTGCCTCCAGGGGGCCTCCTGCAGTGCCTCCAGGGGGCCTCCTGCAGTGCCTCCAGGGGGCCTTCTGCAGTGCCTCCAGGGGGCCTCCTGCAGTGCCTCCAGGGGGCCTCCTGCAGTGCCTCCAGGGGGCCTCCTGCAGTGTCGTCTCCATCAAGCAGCTAGATATTATTGATGAATCGAGGCCTCATTAAATACGAAATACAGACTGTTAATGAACACAACAAAATATGTATTTCCGACACATCATGTCACTATGAGGCTACTGTTGAGCATCAAATATAGACAGAGCGATGTTAACAAGAATGTCCGCATCCTCCAAAGTGGTTGATATAAAGAGACGAGCCTTCACAGCCATCAGGCCCCACTTCCCACGAGCGTCCTCAAACTTCCTCTCAAGCAAGGCCAGAACTACAGCTGTGGTCCAAGCTCGCTCATCCTGACAATAAAAAGTATTATATTAATTTTTGTTTAAGGAAGTGGTAGTGCTTCCTGGTAGTAGGTAGTGGTAGTGGGTAATTATCGAGAGAAGGCACCAAGCCGAGGAGACTGTAGGAGACAGGTGATCGCGGGGGACAAGTGACTATAAGGGACCGGTGACCGTGGGGGACAGTAGACCACAAGGGAAAGGTGACCGTGAAGGACAGGTGACCGCAGCGGACAGGTGACCACGGGGACAGGTGACCACGTGGGACAGATGACCATGGGAGGATAGTGAATACGGGGAACAGGTGACCACGAAGGACAGGTGACCACGAGGGACAGATGACCATGGGGGACAGGTGACCACGGGGGACAGAGACAACGGGGGACAGGTGACCATGAGGGACAGGTGACCACGAGGGACAGGTGACCACGAGGGACAGGTGACCACGGGTGGAAGATGACCACGGGGAACAGGTGCCCACGGGGGACAGTGACCACGGAGGACAGTGACCATGGAGGACAGTGACCACGGGAGACAGGTGACCACGGGGGACAGATGCCCACGGGGGACAGGTGACCATGGGGGACAGGTGACCACGGGGGACAGTGACCATGAAGGACAAAGACCATGGAGGACAGAGACCACGGGAGACAGGTGAACATGGGGGGACAGTGACCACGGGGGACAGTGACCACGGGGGACAGTGACCACGAGGGACTGGTGACCACGGGGAACAGTGTCCACGCAGGACAGGTGACCATGGGGGACAGGTGACCATGGGGGACAGGTGACCATGGGAGTCAGGTGAACACGGAGGACAGGTGACCACGGGGGACAGGTGACCATAGGGGACAGTGACCACGGAGGAAAGGTGACCACTAGGGACAGGTGATCACAGGGTCAGGTGACTACGGGAGACAGGTGACCATAGGGGACAGGTGACCACGAGGGACAGGTGACCGTGGGGGACAGGTGACCACGAGGGACAGATGACCATAGGGGACAGGTGACAGTGACAACGGGGGACAGGTGACAATGAAGGACAGGTGACCACGAGGGACAGGTGACCATGGAAGGAAGGTGACCACAAGGACACGAGAACACGGGGGACAGGTGACCAAGGGGGACAGGTGACCACGTGGGACAGGTGACCATGGGGGGATAGTGAACACGGGGGACAGGTGATCACGAGGGACAGGTGACCGTGGGGAACAGGTGACCACGAGGGACAGATGACTATGTGAGACAGGTGACCACGGGGGACAGTGACCACGGCCATGGACAGGTGACCATGGGGGACATGTCACCACGAGGGACAGGTGACCACGAGGGAAGGGTGACCACGGGTGACAGGTGAACACGAGGACACGTGACCACGGGGGACAGGAGACCACAGGGGAAAGTGACCACGGAGGACAGTGACCATGGAGGACAGTGACTATGGGGGCCAGGTGACCACGAGGGACAGGTGACCACAGGGGACAGGTGACCATAGGGGACAGTGACCACGGGGGATAGGTGACCACGGGGGACAGGTGATCACGAGGGACAGGTGATCACGAGGGACAGGTGACCACGAGGGACAGGTGACCACGGTGGACAGTGACCACGGGGGACAGGAGACCACGAGGGAAAGGAGACCACGAGGGACAGGTGACAACAGGGGACAGGAGACCACAGAGGATAGGTGATGACGGTAGACAGGTGACCATGGGGGACCGGTGACCACGGGGACAGGTGACCACGGGGGCCAAGTGACCATAGTGGACAGTGACCACGAGGAACAGGTGACCACAGGGGACAGGTGACCACGAGGGACAGGTGACCACGGGAGACAGGTGACCATGGGGGACAGGTGACCACGAGGGACAGGGGACCACGGGGAGCAGGTGAACACGAAGGACAGGAGACAACGGGGGATAGGTGACCATGGGGGACAGTGAACACGGGGGACCGGTGACCATGGGGGACATGTGACCATCAGCGACAGGTGACCATGAGGGACAGTGACCACGTGACCACGGGGGACAGGAGACCACGAGGGACAGGTGAGCACGAGGGACAGGTGGCCATGGGGGACAGTGACTACGGAGGACAATGACCACAGGGGACAGGTGACCACGGGGGACTGTTACCACGGGGGACAGTGACCAGAGGGGACAGGTGACTACAGGGGACAGCTACCACGGAGGACAGATGACCACGGGGGACAGGTGACCACGGGAGACAGGTGACCACGGGGGATAGGTGACCATGGGGGACAGGTGTCCACGGGGGACAGATGACCATGGGGGACAGTGACCACGAATACACGTGACCATGAGGGACAGTAACCACGAGGGACAGGCGACCACGGGGGACAGGTGACCACGGGAGACATGAGACCATAGGGGACAGGTGACCACGGGGGACTGGTGGCCACAAGGGACAGTTGACCATGGAGGACAGTGACCATGGGGGACAGGTGAACACGAAGGACAGGAGACAACAGGGGACAGGTGACCATGGGGGACAGTGACCACGGGGAACAGGTGACCATGGGGGACAGGTGACCACGAGGGAGAGGTGACCACGGGGGACAGGGACCACGGGGGACAGGAGACCACGAGGGACAGGTGACCACGAGGGACAGGCGACCATGGGGGACAGTGACCACGAGGGGCAGGTGACCACAGGGGAGAGTGAGCACGGGGGACAGTGACCACGAGGGACAGGTGACCATGGGGGACAGGTGACCGTGGGGGACAGTTACCACAGGGGAGAAAGACCCCGGGAGACAGTGACCACGAGGGACAGGTGACCACAGGGGACAAGTGAACACGAAAGACAGGAGACAGCGGGGAACATGTGACCACGGGGGACAGTGACCACGTGGGACAGGTGACCAGGGGGGACAGGTGACCACGAGAGACAGGTGACCACGGAGGACAGTGAACACAGGGGAAAGGAGACCACTAGGGACAGGTGACAACGAAGGACAGGTGACCATGTGGGACAGTGACCACGAGGGACAGGTGACCACGGGGTACAGTGACCACGAGGGACAGGTGACAATGGGGGAACAGGAGACCATCGGGGGCAGTTACCACAGGGAACAGTGACCACGAATGACAGGTGACCACGGTGGACAGATGACCATGGCTGACAGGTGACCACGGAGGACACGTGACCACAGGGGACAGTGACCACGGGGGACAGGTGACCACGATGGACAGGTGAACACGAGGGACAGGTGACCACGATTTACAGGTGACTGTAGGGGACAGGTGACCACGGGGGACAGTGACCATGGGGGGATAGTAAACACGGGGAACAGGGTGACCACGAGGGACAGATGACCATAGGAAACAGGTGACCACGGGGGACAGTGACCACGGGGGACAGTGACCATGAGTGAAAGGTGACCACGAGGGACAGGTGACCACGGGGGACTGGTGACAATGGCGGACAGGTGACCACAGAGGACAGGTGACCACGGGGGACAGTGACCACGGAGGACAGGTGACCACGAGGGACAGGTGACCGTAAGAGACAGTAACCACAGAAGAAAGGTGACCACGATGGACAGGTGAACACGAGGGACAGGTGACCACGATTTACAGGTGACTGTGGGGGACAGGTGACCACGGGGGACAGTGACCATGGGGGACAGTTACCACGGGGGACAGGTGACCACGAGGGACAGATGACCAAGAGGTACAGGTGACCGTGGGGGACAGGTGGCTTTGGGGGACAGGTGACCGTGAGGGTCAGTGACCACGAGGGACAGGTGATCATGAGGGACAGTGACCATGGGGATAGGTGACCACGAGGGATAGGTGACCACGGGGGTCAGGTGACCACGGGGAACAGTGACCACGGGGGACATGTGACCACGATGGACAGGTGACCATGGGGGGATAGTGAACACGGGTTAACGGGCGACCTCGAGGGACAAGTGACCGTGGGGGACAGTGACCAAGGGGGACAGTGACCACAGGGGACAGGTGACCACAGGGGACAGTTACCAAGGAGGACAGATGACCACGGGGGACAGTGACCACAGGGGACTGGTGATCACGGGGGACAGTTACCACGGGGGACAGGTGACCACGGAGGAGAGGTGTCCACGGGGGACAGGTGACAACGGGAGACAGGTGACCATGGGATACAGGTGACCACGGGGAACAGTGACCACGGAGGACATTGACCATGAAGGACAGTGACCACGGGGAACAGTGACCACGGGGGACATGTGACCACGATGGACAGGTGACCATGGGGGGATAGTGAACACGGGTTAACGGGCGACCTCGAGGGACAAGTGACCGTGGGGGACAGTGACCAAGGGGGACAGTGACCACAGGGGACAGGTGACCACAGGGGACAGTTACCAAGGAGGACAGATGACCACGGGGGACAGTGACCACAGGGGACTGGTGATCACGGGGGACAGTTACCACGGGGGACAGGTGACCACGGAGGAGAGGTGTCCACGGGGGACAGGTGACAACGGGAGACAGGTGACCATGGGATACAGGTGACCACGGGGAACAGTGACCACGGAGGACATTGACCATGAAGGACAGTGACCACAGGGGACAGGTGACTACGGGGGACAGGTGACTACGGGGGACAGGAGACCGTAGGGGACAGGTGACCATGGGGAACAGGTGACCACAGGGGACAGGTGACCACGGAGGACAGGTGACTACCGGGGACAGGTGACCACAGGAGACAGTTGACTACGGGGGACAGGTGACCACGGGGGAGAGTGACCACGGAGGACATTGACCATGAAGGACAGTGACCACGGTGGAAAGGTGACCACGAGGGACAGGTGACCATGAGGGACAGGTGACCACGAGGGACAGGTGACCTCGGGGGACAGGTGACCACGAGGGACAGGTGACCTCGGGGGACAGGTGACCACGGGTGAAATGTGACCACGAGGACACGTGACCATGGGGGACAGGTGACCACATGGGGCAGTGACCACGAGGGACAGGGGACCAAGGTAGCAGGTGAACACG